TGGATCTTTTATCCAAGCAAGAAATCCTGAATTATTTACATTTTTGTTGATTCAAGTTGGTCTACAGTACACAAGTTATTGTACTTAACTCAGTGCAAGATTTCATTATCTATTTTACAGGACAAACTTTAAACTACTTTATTTTGAATAAATAACTTAAAACAATAAACTTTATTATAAACCCCATGTAACTGTCATGGTTATGTCAGGCCAGATGAAGACAATGAATAATGTTTGTAACCAACATCCTGTCTGTATGGATCGCCTTGTATAAAAGTATATTACATTTACTGGATAATGAGAGAAGTTTTATAGTGACAAGAGGGAGATAATTCTTCTTCTACCGCGTCAACACTCAAGTGTTCATCTTATCTAGTAACTGTTTCTCTTAAAAAAAAAGAGAAAACGACATAAGTCAAAATTCAAACAGTAAGATACCTCAGGACAACGTCGACGTCCACTGAATAATCCCCGACAAGGCTCCCACAAGTTGGCCATTTAATCAGTAATTAAAGTGACACTGTAGAAGCAAAAGAAAACGAACAGAGCAGCAATGAGAGGGGAGGCTGCTTTAGATCTGAAAGTGGGATGGGGTATTGTTGTAGACCACTTTACTATGTGAAGGATGCTCAACAAAGCCCTCCGAGTAATGTTAATAAAAAGTTTGTGCTTTAGAGAAAATAAAAAAAATCTGAAAAAGTTTGCTAAAGATAGTCGAAAACACTTTATATTGAAAACATAGATAAAAAGAGAAAAGGGATAAAGGTGAATAATACTGTCAGAAGAGATTTATTTATTTCATAAACCCAAGACTGGGACGTCTGTCTGCTTCACGTGTTGATCTGTGGTAACTTTAACAGCTAATATTTACACGCGGCCGACTATAGGCACATACAGTAAAGTACGTAGATGCGTGTTTGTCACGTCCATGTTATGAGGACTATGACACTTTGATCTTGATGAAACACCCAACTTTTACCCTTTATAATCAGATATATAAGGTTGGTTTTCCGTTTCTATATGAGAGAATGAAAGAGTGAGAGAGAGCTATACAACAGTGATAAGATAAAACAAATATTTTCATGAGTACAGTAGACGGAAAGGGAGGATTCTTCGCGATTATATGAAAACAAAGAATTATAGGTTTACACGATTATATGAAGGGAACAATGCTGTCTTCCCCGGTCATGGAAAAAGGGGGGGGGGGAGAGGAGGGGTTAGCTCCTCGTTGATTAAAATGGGAGTGAATCAGAAAAGCCTTTATGACAGAGGGGAAAAAGAGTGAGTGTGTCATGCACGACATATATGTACAACCTCCCCTCTGAACACATTCATACGCGCTACATCGGACTCCAAACGCACTATCATGCGCACTATCCTTTTCAAACGTGCACCCATACTCACTTCTCCAGCCTCTTCACACTTTGCCGGCCTCTACACTACCCAGTTCTGTAAATTCTCATGTACACAACTCCCCGCCCTACACACGCACACACACACACACACACCCTCTATTGTTCTTCAAACCATGTCTGCATACGTACTACACACATCACAAACAACCAATAAACAGAAGGAAACCCCAACAAACACACTCAAAAACAATCAAAACACCTGCTATAAACACAATCACAAACATGCACTAAATCCCATACAGATAAGCACTAACCTACCAACAATGATTCTACGAAACGGACTAAATCTCTGCAAACAAACCCATAAACACACAATATCCCTACAAACGTTTCTTCAAGCCTAAAATCACTGAGTTCACCTTAAAATAACAACCACAAAAACCTAATAATACATCCACAAACATAAATTTATGCTCCATACAATCGCGTTCACAAACATGCACTAAAATCTCTACAACTATACCTACTAAAGTAACTAGATCCCTTAAACACATGCACTAAAACGCAAAAAAATTCCAAACAAAACGTACAAACACGTACAAAACTCCCCTAAAAACACGCACTAACCCAACAAATATTCCTAGACAGCCGACGGTGCAGCGGGGCCGTGTTATCCGGGAGTTCCCAGTTTGCAAACATTATTGTATTGTAGGGGGAAGCGCAGCTAGTCTCCCGGGACCTTTATAGGGCCCACACGTGACGAGCATAGCGCGCTACACACGTAACTTGCACCAGTCACGTTGCTGGGGAGGGAGGTGTTGGGGGCAAGTATGGAAGGGAGTTAAGATGAGAAAAAGGAAGGGAGGGATTGGGAGGTGGGGATTGGGAGGGAATAGGGGAGGAAGATAGGTATATATAAGTGTGTGGGGATGTCATATCTCATCATCCTCACCCTCCCCGGTCCTGAAGACAAGTATTGTCTAACGAAATATCGAGGTACGTCGCCTGTGTGTGTGTGTGTGTGTGTGTGTGTGTGTGTGTGTGTGTGTGTGTTTATGCATATGTGCACATAGTTTTATATAATTATGTAGATGTTAGTATAGTATACATGTATTTTGGCATGCAGGCATCACGGTTTGTGTATTTGTCTATGATGACATTTGTACGAAACATTAGTTTAACAATTACAGTAAACAAGATCCAATTTGACATAGAGTAATAAAATTCCATGAAGGTTAATTAACTAACTCACACGCCCCTTTAACTGTCTCTAATTTGCATACTGTGTTCCAGGTAAGAACATGACTGTGGGAGGTGTGTAGGCGAAGGTGTGGTCGAGCACCTGACGTGATGAGGAAGGCAACCTTGAGATAATTGTGGTATCATTAATATCACCATAATTAACTTATTATTTTTCTCTATCTCTTTCTTTCTTTCTCGTTGTCTCTTTTTGCGAGTCTCTGGCTGTCTTCGTCGGTTTCTCTTTCCATTTCCGCCTGTTTTTCCTTCTCTCTCTTCCAAATCTCCCTTTCACTGTCTTTATTTAAGTAATCACCTTTCCTCCACTGATTATACTGAAGGTGTAACAGGTTAAGAGAACCTCGACACGCAATATACATTTTTACTAAACCAAGTTAATCATGTTGATACACTTTACGCTCGTCAAGGTTTGCGTATGCGTGCTTATGACAGGAATTAGTTATGGGAGCCGGACGTGCGAGTCTTCTGTCATCGACACGTATTCTCTTAATATGCCGGAGAGAGAGGGAGAGAGAGTTTGACTATTGAATCATTTCAAAGAATAATCGACGTAGAACTCATAAGGCAACACTGTAGTGCAATCCTGGGGATACAAACATTGTCAGTTGCGACTGTTCAACTTCACTGCATAGGTTGAGCGAGTCAAACACTGCTGCTTGTCGGTACTTCCTCACTAACTACATAAAGTGATATCATTACTTCGCTCTGGGCCAATCAGTGCACTAATTAAACGTCACAAAGTCGCCAGTCATTTTGATCAAGTCTTCCTCGGCTTATTGTTTATTGTTTATATAATCAATCATCTTTTCATTAATTTTTGTGAATTAAACTACAGACTACTGTATAATATATAATGTACATTTCGAAAATAACACATATCAGGTTACATATATCTCACACACAAACAAACAAACACACTACGTTACATACATCTCACACACAAACAAATAAATAAACACCAGGTTACGTGCATCGCATATACAAACAAGCAAACAAACACACTACTTTATGTACATTTCACATACAAACAAATAAATACACACCAGGTAACATACATCTCACATACAAGGAAACACACTAGGTTACATATATATCACATACAAACAAACACACACCCTTTAATTCTGATCACTCTTTACAAACCGTAATTGGACTGGTAGTTTGGTCATTCCCACCTATGTCTTAATTAACGCCTCAGGACTCACTTTGAGGTGATCACAGGAGAGCCGGACACACACACACACACACACACACACACACACACACACACACACACACACACACACACACACACATATCAACAGTGCCACTTATCTACTGATTATACAAACTGGCTTGACTTCTATATCAACAATAAAAAGCCACAAAGATTACATCCAGATAACAACACTGGTATAAGACCCTCGTATATCCTAAGTTATTTCCAAGAATACATATACTGGCGATAAGAATGATTAGATTGAGTTGAAGCGTAATCATACACTGCATGAACATGAGTGTACAGAACAGGAGACGGCCAGGTGATATTACAATCTAAAAAAAAAATGCTGACGTAACCTGCCTACTCCTGTGTGCTCCTACAACTCTGTTACAATGACCACCCGACACTGTAATGACAAATTCTCTTCTCTTGAGAGTTATGAGACGACCAGAAACTGTGACCTTCCTGAAGAAAAAAAAACAAACGTGAAATAATGAGTAGCAAAGTATAGAAAAACAAATACTTGTATAAGCGAGATGGAGAGGGAGAAAGAGATAAGAAAGAACACTCATGTGGTAAACTCATCAAGCTGTTCTACACACGAATGATACTTGTTCCGCTCTTGTTTTGGTGTGAAAGGAACTTATTCTTTGACGGACATTGTATTCTGACACCCTAAAGTCAATAAGAATGAAAATCCATAAAAGTTTGCTAACGCAGGCATTTAGCTCTTGATATCTGTAATACAACATGAAGCATACTCAGTACATGATAAAATAAAGAGCTGGAAAATTTTAATAAATACAGTGTGAAAACAGGATTAATTTGTCTTAATTCACAAAAAAAAAATAGAAATTAGCTGAAATTTTCATCGTCATTACTAAAGCCAAGTTTTGGAGTAAAGAGAAATTCCGGTGGAACTAGTAAAGTTCACTGTAGTCGTATCTGCTGTTAAGTTCACTGTAGTCGTGTCTGTTGTTTCTGTTGTTAAGTTCATTGTAGTTGAATCTGTCGTATCTGTTGTTAAGTTCATTGTAGTCGTATCTATTGTTAAGTTCACCCTAGTCGCATTTCAGTTTACTGTGGTCGTATAATGTCAATTCACTGTAGTCCTATCTCTTGAGCTCAGTTTAATGTGGTCGTATCAGTTGTTGGGTGATAACAAGTGTCGTTATCAGAGGCAGCTGATGAAGAGTGTCAGGCTCATACACATCGGAGGAGGTTGTGCAGGAAGGACACAATATTTCTTATTTTCATATTTGTTGATGTTACCAGAAATATACTGAGCATTGAAGTTAAGGTTAGGAGGACAACATCTTATGAAAAGATAGTGTGTGTTAGGGGACAGCCCACGTCAAGCACCATCATCCTTTTATCTTCTTGGCAATATATTACTCCATGATGGAAAACACCAAGGTAAGTTCTGAGGGATTACATGAAGAGTAGCCTTCCCTTTCTTATTTAATTTTGAGATTAACCTAACCTAACCTAACTTAATCCCAAGTAGCGTAAGGATATTTAACCATCAGGTCAAATACTGGGAGGGGGGGCTAATCCTTATGTGATCCAATCTGAGTTCTAACCGTAAAGATGTGAGGTACCAGGTGTACAGAAGTCATAAATAGTCGGACATTAAACTACGAAGGAAGAGACTCTGAATAATCAGTATGACAGGAAAAGGCAGCCAAGAAAAATTTCCGCAAAGATGATATAACGAATCATGATTATAATGTTAAACACTTAACTATTGGAGATTGATAGAAATAAGCAAAGAGACATTGTTCTGTGCTGAAGATGAGAACTTGGATCGAATTCAACCTGCGAGGTGTTTGGGGAAATCTGGTTAAGCCGTTTATCCAAATATGTTTTATTTATGCAGAATTTCCACGTACATTTACACTAGGAAGTACTTGTGTTGTGTGCGTGCTGAAGTACATCATATCAGGTGAGCTTATATAGGAATGTACGTGGATAAAGTCCATTGGATTTCTATCCATTGGATTTACAACGATTATACGTAGAAGAATATCAACTTTGATTGTCTTGGAAGTAGGTAGTAGGCAGCTAACAAACAGGGAGGTAATACCGCCTGGGAAGATATTGGAAGCATAATGTGTTGTCTAATGGTAGACCCTGCTGCCATATGGGTTCACGAAAATTGTGACCAAGTCCCAGGTTGCTGATCTGTCTTTCTGCCTCATTAACACAAAATTGCAGGGTCTCAATTGTCTCTCTTACTATTGCCAACACAACAAATATAACCGTACTCACTCTTGATGTGTTCTATTCTCTGTATTCTTTTATTCTCCTTTGAAGTCAGTTGACAATAATATTGAAGCAATGCTTTTTTTGGATGGGTCCCACTAGTCGGGAAGGTTGTGGGCCCTAGGGCCGACCTGATCATCATCAAACTACTGGGGCCTCGACTGACGTCACCGCGATTGCTGGAGGGCGGCTTTTCTCACACTTAATTTTTCCAACATTCGCGGCCTGAGATCCAATTATCCTTCTGTAGAGCACCATCTATTAACCTCTTTCCCCCGACCTCTTAGTACTATCTGAACTTCAACTGACCAAAGCAGCTTCACGCAAACCTTTTCAAGTCTCCAGCGAAAACCATTATACCTCTTTCCGTTCTAAGGGAGGCGTATGCGACTGCTGCAACACACATACACCAATAGCTCGACTCACGGATCTTGAATTTTCTCTTTATGATGTTATCAGGCTCAAATATTTCTACCAGCTCTGATTATTTTTCTTTGTTTCCCAACTCTATCAACTATTTGGAACTCTTTGACTATCTCACTTCTTGCCATGAGACGTTGCTATGCTCACACCCCAACACCGAGATCCTCTACCAAGGGGATTTCAATGTACATCACAGAGAGTGGCTTGGCTCTGCAAAGGATGACCCAGGTGGAGCTGAGGCACTCTTTTTCCTTACTTAATGATCTGGAACAAATAATTAAACACCCTACACGCGTTCCTGATCGAAACGATCAATTTACTAGCATTCTTGATCTTTGTTTTACCGCTAACCCCTCACACTATTCATACTCAATTTCTGCCCCTTAGGATCTTCTGTTCACAATTCTATTTCTATTAAATCAAACTGGGCACGACCACCTTCCCCTCCCCCCTCTAAACGTCAACTATGGCACTATCGGAGGGTAAACTGGCAATCCTTGCGAGAATTCTTCTCCGACTTTCCTTGGGATGAATGTTGCTTTTCCACTCGGTACAGGGGGTCTAGTGTGAGGTCAAGTTTTTCCTTCTGTGAAATATCGTGTAGTGGGTTTTCTCAAGGTTTAAGGTTAGTTTATTATGTAATACCCAGATCCTGACTTTAGCCAATTCAGTGTTCATAGTTTCATCAAAGAATTGAGGTCTGAGTTGGTGGTATAGAGATTACTATCGTCTGCAAATAAGTTGTATTTTATGAGTGTGCTGGAGTGGACTATGTCGTTTATGTACAACAAAAACAGTACTGGACCGAGAATTGAACCTTGGGGGACGCCATACAAGATTGGCGAGGAGTCAGATTGGTGATTATTATAGCAGACATACTGCAACCTGTTGGACAGATATGAGGTAAACCAATTGTGGGACAGGCTCCTAACGCCGTAATGTTCAAGCTTTGAAAGGAGGATGGTATGGTCGACAGTATCGAAGGCTTTAGAGAGGTCCAAGAATATACCGACTGTGAACTGACTATCATCAAAGGAATTTAAGATGTCATCAGTAAAGGATAACAGAGCACTCTCAGTCGACCTTCCAGTTTTAAATTCAATCTGGGAGTCTGTAAAGATGTTATTGGCATTGCATAAGGAATTTAGTCTACTACATGCTAGCTTCTCCAGTATCTTAATCAAGGCTGGAAGGACTGATATGGGGCGGTAACTCATGAAGAGACCTTTGTCCCAGATTTTTTATATGCTGCGTGAACTTTAGCAATTTCACTTTATCCGGAAAGACACCACTAGTGAAGGAGGAGTTACAAAAGTGTAGGAGAACAGGTAGTAATAAGTGGGCTACTTTCTTAATGATGCTCATTGGTATATTGTCTTCGCCTGCTGCTGCATCTTTGGACATTTTTATGATGGCCAGTAATTCATCTGCTGTGACAGGGGATAAGAACAGCTCATTTTGCTGTCTGTATTGCAGGTATAGGTTCTAAATTCCTCATGGTGATCAGGGATGCTCTGTGCAAGATTTTTGCTAACATTAATAAAATATTCATTGAAGTGGTTGGCAATTAGGGGGGGTTCTGTTACAACTGAATTATTTATCATAAAAGCGGAATGGGGGACGAAGGCTGAGTGTTCCTGTTCTGAATAGAATTTATGATATTCCATGTTTTCATTCAATCGCCTGATGCTGACTGGAGCTTATTTGTATAATAGCTAAGTCTGGCATTTCTAACTACTTGAGTTACTCTATTTCTGATACTTCGGTAAACATCACCGAAAGTTATGGGTCTTTTTGCAAATTTCCTTTGGAGTTTGTGTTTTTTTTATCGTTATCTTAATTTCGCTTGTGATATAGGGTTTGGAAATGGATACAGTTTTCACTGACTTAGTCTTGAGCGGGAAGCATTTATCAAAACAAGCATTGAAGATGCAAGAGAAGTTGCAGCTGTTCACTTTAAGGTTGTCGGAGGCATAGACAAGATCCCAGTTAGCATTCATTAGGTTGTTTTAAAAATATGAGCATGTTGTCGGCGCAGTAGTCTCTGTATTGTACTGAGACTCTATTAGACCTTTCAGGTCTTGTGGCTGTTTTATACATGGCAAAAACTTGGAAAGTGATCTGAGATATTGTGATAAATAATTTCACTTGTAAGATTGTTAGGAGTGTTGTCAGTCCAGATGTGATCCATCACAGTGGCAGAGGTAGGCAGTTACTCTAGTGGGTTTGGTTATAGTGTTGAAGAAGAGCTTAGAATGACAGGTAGCAAGAAAGTAAAATACTGAGGTGTCGGTTTCTGATTGTATTAGGTCAAGATTGTAATCTCCTGTAATGTAGCAAAGTTCCTCTCTGAACTTATGATAGAGATACTTGGAATACTGTTCTCATATCTGGGGTGGCTTTTTTTCTGCCCAACTGTTAGATGGGGTGGAATCAAAGGCATTTCGTCTTATTAACTCTCCTTCTTCCCCTTTTCTTCGCCGCAACGTTTCTTCACTCTCTCTCTTTTACAGTTACTTTAACGGGCATTATTCGGTGGATTTGGCATCTAGTGTATCGCCGGCAAGTCCATGGGGTCGTAACACTTGTCTTGTCCGCTGTGCTCACCGTTTCTCTGTGGGTGTCGGTCACACTAGAATAACCTGTCGTGTACATTTTTCTTTCTTCACACAGCCAAACTGTGGAATGCTCTGCCTTCTTCTGTGTTTCCACACTCATACAATGTCTCACTTCAAAAAGCTGGTTTTCCGGCATCTTCGTGATTTAGATTAATATAATCTTTTTTCTTTTCTCTTGTTAATTTCTTTTTACTCTTATTTTTTCGCCCCCTAGGCCCCGTTGTGGGTAGATGACCTGTGCCCGGGTAGGCTATTCCCGTAAAAAAAAAAAATCATATTAGGTAAAAACAGGTGAAAAGCTCTGTTAGTCTAACGACATAATATAGATATATCCTTTAACTTATCCACTCGCCTTTATATAAGACAACTAACAAAAGAATTATGAAAGCCATTTCCATAACTTTAAATTTGGAAAGGAATGTAGTCAAGCTAAAAATGGAATATAATTCTCAACAAAGAGTCTCAGATTCCACAGTACATTTAGCACTGTATCCACCTCACAATGGAGTAGTCAAAGGTTAAACTCCCGAAAGGAGTAGAGAATTGAGTTCCTTTCGTAAACACTAGCTTTGTGTACTCAGCAATAAATAAATGTACCACTGGGTGACCTTCCCAATGGTGGAACATTCCTTCACTAGACTGTCGTCCCTCAAAGTGTGTGGGGAAATCGATTTAATCAATGAATACTAGTAAGACTCACGAGATCCGGCCACCCAGTATCATAATACTAAAGGCTTACTGCATATGACCGTATAGTGTATATGCATATCTATTTTCCCGTTTTATTAATAATTTCTAATAAGATTAATAATTTTTTTTTCAGAACTATTTGAAGAAAAAACATTTTAAAGAAAGTAAAGAAAAGAAACATATTCCCTGTCCTGGTGTGACAGTCCGATATACAGTAGTACTGATAATCCAGAATATTATTGTGTTATACAGCCTATGCACATTCTTCCCTGCTTTCAAGCAATCTATTTCCATCAAACTTATTATTTAACAAACTTTACATAGTAATTTGTAGTGTGGTCAATATTTATAATCCTATTTAATGAATGGACCTTGAAAATGAATTATTTTTTAAGTTACTTGAGAGTGAGTGTCAGTCTCCTCTCATGACACCAACAGCCACCTGACCAAATGCTTAATGTTTGCTTCCTTCCAATGACGGCTATTTCACTTAGATTTAGTATGAGTACTTTTCCCCTGAAGTCATCCTTAAAGTACAACAAGCCTATCATACTTAAGCTCAATATCTTACACGCTAGTATTCAACTCTGCTCCTAGTCATCAGACTTTGTCATGTTTAGGTATATATATGTTGTGTCCACTGGTGAGTTTTAACTGCCATTTGTGTTTTATAGAACGACCCGAGAGACTGCACTGTCTGCTTTGTAAGATTCAACGCTGGCAGACGATGTCCCCGCATCTTGGTCTCATGTGGTCACTCCTTCTGTTCCGTCTGCATCAACGAGATTAAGAAGAAAAACAATCTGAGATGCCCATATTGTAGCAGACAATTCAATATGACAGCCGTTGAAGACCTGCCAGTCAACCATGCACTTTTACAGCTTCTGGAACAAAAGGCACCACCACCATCATCTCTTGGAGCGGCAAAAGTCAACGACTTTTCCAAGGTACAATCTCCAAAACAACATGCTGGAGTTTGTGACGAACACGGCCAGTACAAGTTGTTCCACTGTGCCACCTGTGACATGTACATTTGTCATGTGTGTACTGTTGTTGACCACCCACGTACGTCCTGTTCTGTTGTCTCCATCAAGAAAGCATTAGAGAATATAAAGGCTTCTGAGGACAAGGGCATTAGTTCAGAAATCAGCTGCTGTGGGGAAGTAACACAACATCTAAATAACTACAGTGAACAGTTGGATAACAAGATCAAAGACCAAGAATGTCAGATAGAAGAACTACTAAGACAGGTGGAACTACATAAACTCGAGAAGCAGCAGCTGGGGGCGGAAAAAGTTAAGGTCAGGGCAGCTCTCTTGGAAGGAGAAAGTAAAGACGAATCGCTCAGTACCAGCCAGAAGTGTGTGGCTGCCAGCAATAGTCTTCAGGAAGCTGAAGCTGCGGCTTCACAAGCTAAGCTTCACAAACAGTCTGCCCAAGCCTGGAGACTCCAATGTTCGGAGAGGTTCCCTGATGTCGTACCCGCCCTGCCCCAGCCGCAGGTTAGTTGGTTTTGTTCCCAGAGGTATAAGTTACGTAATATTTGGGTAAATTAGTAAAAGCATACACATCTATAAAAATAAAAAATATATATACTTAATCACAAAATATGTGTTGCTTTTGTCTGACTTACTTTTGAGATGCCATTAAATACCTTGACCTAGACCACCTCCTGAACTAATAATTTCCAGCGTAGAGACAAAGGGATAACTCTTACATTATCCAAAGGTAAGTCATCACTTTAAATCAACATACAGTAATTCTATTCTTGTCCATTTATTGGAAGTTCGCTTCGGAGTGATGATGATTCCAATCTGTGTCATCTAAAGTTCCGTAAGTTACAGCAGTAGTAGTAGCCACGTGGATAATACACACTAATTTAGTACACACACTAGTCATCAATAATAAAAACTGATGAGAGATAAATATATGTGTGGAGTTCAAGATTTCCCTGTTGCTATTTTTCATTTAGACTGTTCACTGTATAGGTGTGGCCAGCCCTGGTGTTTACCTTATTAACGTACTGTTCTCTACATTTAGGCTACGTCCCATCAGCGACAGTACCGCAGAGGCGTGCGACAAGGGTATAAGCGCTAAAGACAGGTGACCCGCGTTTCAAATACTCATTGTCAACCTGAAATAGAGTTTATACCTAGAAGATAATGCTTTTCAACGTATGGTTTCTGCAGAGGTACCCAGGAAAAAGTATCCCTTATATCAGAGGAGGATAGAAGTGGGTGAATTTCAGCATCTCTCTGCAAGGAACTTTGCCAAGATCGAAAGAAATTTCACGAATACACCAGAATGTATCCTCCTACATTTGACGACATCCTTGAAAATATTTTACCGCAAGGGGTATTAAACATTTATCTGCCTAATTTTATTCAGTAATTATGTTCACCTTGATATCTTCGAGAACAGGCCTAGGATTAGAGTAGCTAAGATATTATCATAAAACTTGTCCCTGACCTAATACATATATTTGTGAATGAACTGGTGTATGATATTTTTTAAATTTACTGTTAATTTTCAAATCATTGGCGACATTCTCCCATTGTGTGTCAACGGTATTTGAATTGTGGTATTCTTTTTTTTTTTCTGTGGTCCCATAAAAAGGGCCACTGAAAGACTTCAGCAATCAAATATTCAAGAAAGTGCATGACCGTGGGTGGATGACTGTCTGCTTCTGACGCAAGGTCGGGCGTCTAGTTCTCTCTTCGTGGTCGCTCACGACCGCTTCACACGTCTACGTGGGACACATTAAAGAAAACACATATGTTTGTCCGCTACACCAAGGTTTCGCGTTTACTCGTGTGGTCACTCGATGCCGCAGAACGCTCGCACGCGGGACGTAGCCTTATTTAGAGTGCAATGAAATTAGATACATTTATTTTTCACTATACACATAATTGTATCATTGAGCGTTATATCTCCAGTTGTCAATCATTAATTTGCTTACAGGATGGATTAACAACCGTGAACCATACCGATCCCGTCACAAGATTGATCAAGGCGATGCAGGTCAGGCAGTAGACTCCTGGTGCTTAAGGAAGACTGGGAGTGAGTGTTATGATGGTCTTCAGCATCACAGTTACTTAAATGACATTTCTCAATTATTCAAAACTAAATATTTCTAATTTCAAATAAATGTTTAACATACTTCAAAACAATAATAAGACAACAGTAAACATTAACTTTATATATTCTTAAAAGTTTCGAGTTTTAAATATTTCATTAGTTTGGTAATATTCTTCAAGCATGCTATATTATTTGTTAAGGATTTGTCTGTGTGTCTGTGTAATAACTGGGTTTGTATTTTTGTGATGCCGACTCTCCCTATGGTCCCGTATGGCACAAAGATAAAAGTGAGAAAATTTAGAGTACTGTAGTCATATTGTAAGGCCTTTAATGTTAACAACTGGTGAGTGAAGTCCATTATACGCCGCAGAGTTTGTTTATCTTATCTTTAATATATGCTAAGATTAGTGTAAGGGGCTGTTAAGCAATTCACGGGCGTCTCTGCTTGTCCGGCAATGACCAGATACAATAATTAATTCCTCTAGTTTTTTGGCGGAAGAACCTTGGCGTGTGTGGTGATGGTCCTCCCGGGGTGAGCCTGAGGGAAGGGGCAATAATACAGGGGAGCTAAGAAATGTGGCTTAAGCACTGCATGGATCTAAGAATCAAATATTAAGTTTATTCATGGTGTCACTTGGCTATACTCCGTTACGTGCCCTCATAATAGCTAAGCAGCGTAAATTTTTCTCGAGTATGTGGACTGGAAGAAGTGAAATGGTAGACGATCCACTTGCCCATTCTATTAATGTTGTATTAAGTTTTAGTACGCCCACGTCACGATATGGAGGCGATCTTTTATTTAATGATATTGATGATGTTCAAATAGCCTTACACACTCTGAAACAGAAACTGTTAAACTCAGACTCAAGTAGAGTACAATTATACATGACTATCAATCCAAATTTTGATGTTCATGCAATCTATAATACAAAGATAAAGGTGAATGAGCTAGAACGAGTATCGTGGACACGAGCGAGAGTGAGTGCCCATTCCCTGGCTGTAGAGGAGGGGCGCGCTGGAACAGACGAGGCAGGGGCCGTCTGCCCATTGAAGAGAGATTGTGTTCATGTGGTGCTATTCAGTCTGAATGGCATGTTGTTGAAGAGTGTCCCCGAACAATATATATACGCCATCAATATAGTATTTCAATTTTTGTAAATTTGCTATCTGAAAGAACGGATTATGAAACTGTTTGTCTTTCAGTTCATCGAATGCTTCAAGTATACAGTTAGACGACACAGGGACATACCATTAACTATTTTATATGTTTTAGTTTATTTTACTTGTAGTTATTTTGTTTTACTTTATTTACTCTTGGGTTTCCTCTGTTTTTTTGTGTTACTGGCTGAATCAGTGAACTTTTATTGATATTTGGTGTTTTAAAGCATTTCCATTTGGACCATTTTATGTAAAATTTTAGTGTAAACTCTGTATTCATAATTTGTGGTCAATAAAATATCTATTTA